TAGAAATGAAATACGAGTAAGCATATGACAACTTTCTTAATCAGAGCTATGAATGATTTGCGAAACGTTACGCTGACATCGTGAAACGAAATTATTACGAGTTTATCTTTCACACATGAACTTCATCTTAAAAATCGAATTACTACCATACATAAATCGATTAGGTTGTAACTCAAAATTAAGATCCGAATAGTTGAGTTCTTACTCACTTTGTAGAACCATATATGCAATAAAATTTGATAGAAATATTTCAAGAAATCCAAAAATAAAATCATGCAAGCTTTTATATTTTTGAAAATCTACTCCGTAGGTCGTGATATGCATATTTATGTATGATAGTGTTTATCCAGCCTGATAGCCTAATTCTTATTTATTTATGTGACTAAAAATACTGGATATTCGAGACAGGTACTTTTTATTCTAGTTATATACATATATAACGAGATCTCTCGATCGAAATATTTAGATCTTTCAAGCAGTTTTTCCAGATGTTCTTTTCAGATTTGTATAGGATTATTATTCAAAAAAAAAACATTTTCGAATCAACTTCCTCTAACGAAATGGACGGAATCAAGCCGAAACATTTCTTGAAAACAATCTCGAACGAAGAACTGATTGATAGGTCGAGCCGAAATTTGTGATTTCTCATTGAACAGAACTCATCGTGATTCATGTGGATTGAGTTATATGCCGTCTTTATTGATTAAATTTTGCTTAGTTATGAACATCATTAATTAACTACATTAGTTTATTTCAAACGGTATGTATGATTTGTTATCGCTTTCAAGTATTTGAAATAAGGTATATGTGTTAATTGTTTTTGTTTAAAAAATATCAGGTGAACTAAGTTGCCTCATACGTTGCATACATATTTCGATGTTGAACAATTAATTTTGTGTTGTATCCTGATATGAGCTAGTTACTTGACTATCATAAAGAAATGCTACTAGTTTCGTAAATTTTATGATCTATTTCCAAATTCATTTGTGTAATATTTGTTTTGATAAACATTTATATAATTACATTTTTACGGTATAAGTGTACTTCATGTAGATTCAATATAGAAATAATCATAAGATTCGTTACATATGTAACTAAATTAGATCATTTCTTTTATATTTTTTGACTCTAGTATATACACCTTTTTCTTTATTTTCGAGATTAACAGTCGATAGAGCTCGAAAAAGTTTCTTTTTTTTTCTTGTCAACTTTGACGTAGAAGCAAGTTCGATTTAATGAAGATAAAAACCTGTATATCCAAAAAAGAATCAATTTCTGTCCTGGAGTCATCATTTTTTATCAAAAATCAATTATTTTTAGCGTAACAAAGTTATATTCAGGAAATGCATGAAACTTTCAATTAGAAAAAAATATTTTCATTTAATTTTGACCAAGATTTACTCAATGATGAGTACACCAAGCTATTTGGTAGTCAATAGATTACTGTGAACTATTAAATAAATATAGGAGGTTTATAATTTTTCATCATTATATTCGACACGAACAGCTCTGACTCTACAATCACATCTGATTTCACATCCTCAAAAGAGAAATTTTCTTTTATGATCACTTATACGACAAGAAGATATACGATCGTAATAGTAAGCCAAGGAATATAGTACTATATGATGATTTACAGTCAATGACGATTGTCCTTGTTCGACTTGGGGGAAACCCATTCATTCTTTCTCTGTCGAAAAGATCAACTTAATCTGATAGCTTCTGAATGAAACACTCTGAATAGAGTTGAACATCAAAATTCATGTGTATTTTAACAAAAACCATTGTAAATTTTAACTATTAAAACCGACGCTAACTAGTTAGTTTGCTTATGTATTTTTTAGTCAGCTTTTATCATATGCAATGAATGCTTATTAATAAGAAATTCATTTCTTAGAAAAATAATAATTAACCCAAATCACATGAAAAATAATTCACCTATTTTAATCAAGGGTAAGTACAGGATAAACTCCATATCTACAAAAAAAAGTATCTAAAAAAGAAATTTTATCCATTTTTCTACTAGGGAAAAATTGATTTTGTGTTGTGCTATATCATAATGATATACTCTTCTTTTTTAAAACATTATTTATTATTTTATGTTATAGATTTAAGTAACTTATCTTGCTAACGTTACCATTCCATTTCGATTTTTATAACATGAATGAGAGGTTACATAGTTCAAAAATTGCTTCTCCTTCTAAAATATACTCGATAAAAAAAGGGTAAGAACTTTTCTTTTGGTGTTCTCAAATGCATATAACATGTGTTTAACTTTCTTTAGAAAAATTTTCCTTTGGTCAATCACGAATCGTCATTATGTGTTTGCTGTAGTTGCATCTAGTCTCATCATTATGAGTATTATTATTGTTCGTTTGACTTCACCAAAAATACCAAGTATGTCTATCTTCTTCCATAATTTTCTTTAGATAAGACTTCTTAGAAACAGAAATCACAATCAGTCTATTACACTTATGATCATTTGATATTGTAAAATAGAAAGGATTCACGGCAAATTAACTTCAACTTTATGAAATAAATTAAAAGCAATTCGGCAATCATACATGAGTTTGCAAGTCAGAATCTCGAATACATGAAAATATTCCAGAGCTTTTAAATGATGTTAAAACTTATGGTTTTATGTTGTTCGGGTGCTTTCAACACAGTATGATCTAGAAAAAAAGTATTGTATTCATTTCAATATCTACATATGTCGATACAGAACGATCCGACGAATCGTTTGATACCGAGTTTCATACATTTGAAAAGTGGTGATTCGATAGTTTCCAATACAAATTTCTAGATTGTATTTTGATAGAACATTTATCAACAGATTTGATTGTCTAGTCATAAATAGTCTCATTAGGAAGTACAAAGCATTCTACACAAATCTATATATGAATCATACAGAAATGCAAATACATAAACTGAATATAGGGTGAATAGATAATGTTTTTATTGATATGTTGAGACAGGTCATAAATGTTGTAGCTTCTCAATTCTATTCAAAATTGATTGACAATGAAATTTATTCTTAAGCATTTGATCAAGTTTTTCGCGGACTACACACTGATATAGTTTTCTTGCAATTGTTTCATTAGTTAAAATTTTTCCAGAGAGAATGCTGTCTGAAATCGGGATCATGAATGCAGTCTTCATTTTATGGTGACATATTAATCATATTCTTATAATATTGTTCTAATTAATACTGTAAATAGGATACTTTTCTAAAATTATAGTACAAATGATACATTTAAAATAATAAGAAAAGTCAAGTTATGTGAACATGTAATCTGGCAAAAACTACATCGAAAGTTCAAAACTAAAGACGACAAAATAATTTTAGCTAATAAAATAATGATAAGAATACTATATCGATGTGTAGCCCACGAAAAACTTGATCAAATGCTTAAGAATAAATTTCATTGTCAATCAATTTTGAATAGAATTGAGAAGCTACAACATTTATGACCTGTCTCAACATAATAATAAAAACGTTATTTGTTCACCAGATATTCAGTTTATGTATTCGCATTTCTGTATGGTTCATATATGGATTTATGTAGAATGCTCTATGCTTTCCAATGAGATTATTTATGGTCAGGCAACCAAATCTTTTGATAAACGTTCTATCAAAATACAATCTAGAAATTTGTATTGGAAAGCATCTAATCACTACTTTTCAAATGAATTGAGTTCGGTATCAAAGAATTCATCGGATCGTTCTACATGGATATATTCGTATAATTGTTTCAAAAACTTCAATTCTGATGGCATATTTCGTCTTCAACTTATCTTCTTAGTTGATGTATCCTAATTTAACTACATGTTTAATTTGATGTAAGATTATACGTATATCTATGAGTAGGCAATTGCTAGATTTGTGAATCTGAATAAAATTTTCTGTAGGAAGAATTACTGTAGTATCATTTAAGTTACATTACCATGCACTTCCAGTATCTTTGTCAATCATTCATTTTGTATTCGAGATGAAATAAAAAATTCTAAAGGAATAATGGTCTCCATCGATTCTGTCCATTCTTCTCATTTTTTTATAGTCGCTGATGAATCTTATATCCGTGACGAAAATATTTTTAAAACAATCAACAGCGAGTCTTGAGACTAAGAAGAATTCAGATAGATTTGTTCATAAGACAATTCAAAAGAAAAGATCATGTATGAATCATCGATTATTTAGTTCCAAAATGTGGGCTCAACTTTAAGAAAACACAAATAAATCCTATTGAATACAAATATCGACCACGATCTGTTGCTGTTGGTGATTTCAACAACGACACTTACCCGGATATTGTTGTGGTCAATCAGGCTATTAACAGTATATACTATTGCTATATTTCTTGGCACTGGAGACGGATCTTTTAAAAACCGAAATGTGTTTTCAACGATTAGATCTCGTCCACTTTGGATCAATGTAGCTGACTTCAATAAAGATCATGTACTAGATATTGTCGTCACCAACTACGGCACCGAGGGCGTCAGTTTATATTATGGATACAGCAATGGAAGCTTTTCACATCCAATCACTTTCTTCACTGGCAATGTTTCGTTTCCATTTTCAGTTGTCACTTAAGATTTCAATAATGACAAGCAACTAGATCTTGCCATCACCAATTATGGTACAAACAACATAGGATTACTGTTGGGAAATGATCACGGTACTTTTACACAACAAACAGTATTCTCTACTGGCCGCGATTCACATCCGTGTGGTCTCGTCGTTGCCGATTTCAATGGTGATACCCTGATAGATATGACCGTTGCTAATTATGGAACAAAAAATGTAGTCATATTTTTAGGTTACGGTGATGGTACCTTTAGATTTCAAGCGAACTATTTGCTGGGTGATTCTTCTCCATATTCCATTGACACAGATGACGTCAATCTTGATAATCGACGGGATTTAGTCGTCACTAGTCACTGTACTCAAAATGTTGGTGTTCTTCTTGGATATGGTAACGGGTTTTTTTACAAATCCGAAAATGTACAACACCGGATCGTCTTCCTCGATTTCAGTTGCATTAGACGATTTCAACAATGATAATCGAGTGGATATTATCCTTGTCAATAATGGCACAGACAACATAGTTATCGTTTTTAGAGGAAACGATGACGGCTTTTCACTTCAATCGACGTATTCAGTTGGTTCATGGCCAGTATCTATAGCCGTTGGTGATTTTAACAATGACAAGCAATTAGATATCGTGGTCGCTAACTTCGGCGACGATAATATCGGTATACTTCTCGGTCATGGAGATGGTTCATTTGATCAGCAAAAGAAATATTCAGTTGGTGAGTGTTCAGCCACTCTAGCTGTTGCTGATTTTAACAAAGACAAGCGGCTGGATACCATTGTCATTAATCCATTGTTCAATATTATCCTTGTACTTCTTGGAGATAGCAATGGGTCATTCTCTATTACAATGACGTATTCAGCTGGTTTGGATCCTCGATCTATAACTGTTTGTGACTTCAACAAAGACGAACAGTTAGATATCATTTTCGTTAATCATTACGCTAGGAATGTCGGTGTACTTCTTGGACATGGTAATGGTTCGTTCGATAAGCAAAAGACTTATCCAGTTAAAGGATTTCCAACCTCTGTAGTTGTTGGAGATTTCAACGACGACAGCCGACAAGATATAGCAGTCGCTAGTAATGACAATCAAGTTAGTGTACTCCTTTATTATGATACCGGAGACTTCGAAAAAACAGTAGCCTTCGCAGCTGGAATTGGTTCTTATTTAAAATATGTTGTTGCTCGCGATTTCAACAATGATAGTAATCTGGATCTTGTTGTTGCCAATAGTGGCACCGACAATATTGGTATTCTTCTTGGATTTGAAAATAGTTCTTTTGGAAATCAAAATGCATTCAGAATTGGCTCACTTTCTCGCCCATCCTTGATAGCCATTGGAGATTTTAACAATGACACTTAAGTGGATATTACAGTAGTAAATGATGGTTCTAAAAATATTGGTCTGTTTCTTGGAAATGGCAATAGCACATTTGTTGGCCCAAAAGATAATGGAGGTAATTATGATTCTGTTCCGATTGCAATCGTTGCAGGTGATTTCGACAAAGATGGACAGTCGGAGATTGTGGTTACCTATGATAATACTGATAACGTATATATATATAGTCCCTTTAACAGAGGATTTCTTATTCATAAATCGACGTATTCAGTCGATTCTTGGCCTTGGTCTGGAACTCTCAGTGATTTTAACAATGATGACCAACTAGATATCGTCGTCGCTAATTTTCGAAGTAATAATATTGGCATACTTCTTGGACATGGCGATGGGTTATTCTCTAATGCAATGTTATATTCATTTGGTGCGAATCCTAGCTCTGTAGCGATTGATGATTTCAATAACGATAGTCGATTGGATATCACTGTTGCTCATTCAGGTGACAAAAATGTTGTTGTAGTTCTTGGACATGGTGATGGTTCGTTCTCTAATGCGAAGACATATATACTTAGTGCTAGTCCATCCTTTATAGCTGTTGGTGACGTCAACAAAGATAGACGACTGGATATCGTCGTCGCTAATTACTTTCAGCACACTGTCAATATACTGCTCGGATATGAAAACATTGTGTTTGGAAATCGCTTGATGCTCAATACTGGTTTGGATTCTCGACCGTCCTCAATAGCTATTGAAGATATTAACTATGATAATCAAATGGATATCGTGATCATCAATACGAAAACTGATACTATAGGTATTTTTCTTGGATATGGCGGTATTAATTTTTCAAATCAAATGATCTACCCTATAGGCATTGGGTCGAGTCCGCGTTCTATTTCTCTGCGTGATTTCAATAGTAATAACATAGTTGACCTTGTCGTCGCGAATTGTTATAATGATACGGTAGGTTTTTTTCTTGGATACGGAAACGGATCGTTTCAAGATCAAAGATCGTTTCCAACTGGTTCTTTGTCTCGTCCAATATTAGTTGTGACTGTAGATGTAAATAACGATTCCAAACTAGATGTAGTTGTCGTCAATTCTGGCACAAACAATATCGGCGTACTCCTGGAATATGGGAACGGTACATTCGCAAATTTAACTATCTTCCCTTTAGGCCATGGCTACTCTCCATTTTCTATGGCTATCGGTGATTTTAACAATGACAGAAAAGTTGATTTTGGCGTGGCGAACAAGCAAGTGGATAATTTAATAGTTCTTCTACAAACTTGTTCATATTAAACATCTTGTTCTTTGTTTTTCTAGACTTTTTCTTGAACTAATGAGTGCTTTGCATGTTCACAATATATCACCAGATTACACTTTGAAAAAGTCTACAATGATAAAAGGAAAAGCTAATTTGATATTGAAACCAGACATATAGTTTGTGTCGCTTTGACATCAACTTATATACTGAACTAAACCATTAATACTATTTAACAAATTCTTGAAAACATGTCACGAATGTGAAACACTATGTCGTAAAAACTTAGATAAGGTCTTATGAAATAGTTTTTGACACTCATAAAATATTTTGAAGTGCTTTTGAAAATGATGACATTAGCTACAAATCCTTTTAGTATTTATTCACAGTGAGTAATGTTGAATTATTATTGAATTTTTCTAGTTTTGATTGTCTAAGGAAAGAAATAATCTGCGCAAATCCGATTATAATGTGAATTTTGTTAAAAATGTGGCGCTGTTACTCAAGATGTTTTACTATGGACTGACTTCTTAGGGAAGATTTTTCTTACGTCATGTTATGGCAGTGGAGGTTAGTATGTTCAAGCTATATTTCGATGAAAGAAAACTTATTTACTACATAATTTAGCCGCTATGGCTGTTTTTCTCTCTGCTACGGCTCTTATTTTGGCGATGACTTCGTTTTGAAAATGATTTTTAATATTTCTATGAAAACTGAATTTCATATCAATGATTGTTCACTGGCGAACAATAATGGAATAAATTAACCTAGCTACTGATGCATGAACAGCATTCCTATTTGCACTATGTGAAAACGAGATGTAATGTTTCAATAAGAAGTGCATTTTAACTTGAGTTCAGCAGAAGAACATGCTTACCACTCTAGGTATTCTAGTATATTATATATATGAGCTAATTTTGGGTGTGAGTGTCGATATGAATGAAGAGAAGTCACTCACACTCTCTCTTCTACAAACACCATTGATTTGATATTCAAAACAAATAATTCTAAAGTTTAGTATTTTATTCGACAAGTTATTTTTCATATAACTCTCCATGTGGTATTTGTGGATGATAATGTTTAAATCAGAGTCAAGTAGAAGAATTAAATCGAATACAATAATCGAAATATTATGACAGGGCTGAAATGTAAGTTTAAATATTCAAGACAATTTTGAAAATACATTAGATCGAAATAGAAAACATAACCGACAAATACTATCCGATCTACTCAAATCATCGAAATGTATCTTATATGGATAAAATTTTAAAAAAAAAAACGTCATTTTATAATTACTCTGTTAGACATAATAATATTCACTGAAATAAAATTAGTCAAAAAAAATTTTCCATTGATTAATCTTGAAAAGAAAAACAGCTAGAATCGACTATGTGTCTGAAAAATCATTGAACCAAAAGCGTTGACATAAAGAAGTACACGCCGATCATGTTCATGTCAAATGATTGATATACCAATGTCACCAGAAACAATCGGATGATTAGGCACTACTCTACTAGTTTTTCGATTTTTATCTACGCTCATAAAGATTATTTCCTTTGTTGTACAACAAAAGTGACGATATTATAATTTTCTTTGAGAAAAAAATTCGAAATAGTGTTGCATTTACTTTGTTCATTTTATCAATTAAAAAAAAGATCGTAAATACTAAAGCATAATAAGAAGTTACAAGCATTATTGCAAGTAGTTAATATCAATTCTTCTTTTGTTGAACGCAAATAATAAACTATTTATCAAGCATAAGGGTATGGGTGTGGGTGTGGATTTAATGAAGACTCACTCACATTCATACCATCACAAACTTATACTCTTAGATTAGAAGATAATTCTGGATTAATATCAACTGATAATCTTTGTCATACAATACAAAATATTAAAAATCTTGAAATTCCAATAAGAACAAAAGATCAAATGTTGGAGTATCATAGATCAATTTGTTCATATTGATAATTTTGAATTTATATGTGATGATTTTCCGAACGATGATTATTTAGAAGTTTTTATTGAGAAGTTAGATCTTCATTGGTTGAAAAATAATTCGAATCGTTTCGGTATGAAACATTTTATATTTTGACAAGGAGAACAATATCAATACATTCAAATGTCAATTGGTGGTCCAAAAACTAAAAAATATTCCGAATATCCATATCTGTTGACTGAATAACTAAAATGATTATGTTCAGAAGCTGTTTTATATAAAAATAAAATCATCAGTCAAATCATTCGTTTACTAACGAAGGTTATAAAATCATTACAAAAATAAGATGATTTTTTAAAGCAATTAACAATGTAGAGTTTTATTCACATTCATTCATGATTGCTATCCACAATAAGGTAAATAGATTCTTCAAACTTGAGATATTGATGAAATCTTTGCCGCTCAAAAAACGAAAGGTGAGTTTCTTGATAATTTGATATATTCTGCAAGAAACTGTCAAAAAACAAATGACCGCAATACAACAAGATTGTCAGCGGTTGAAAAACATTATGTTTATTCAAAAGAAAGCAAATTTCTTCAGTGCTGAAAAGACACATGATGCTCAATAAGAATTCCACTGAAAAATATCGAGCTGATGTTGTAGAAAAGTCTACGTGCAGGACAAATAAACAGCATATTCGTGATTTTGCAATACAATTCGTTTCGAAATTGAAACAATTATTCCAAAGCTTCCAATGTTAGTCACTTTCTGCACCAGAGAGATCAAAAAATGGAAATTCATAAGAATATAACACCAAATTGAGCTAAAAGTCACAAATCTGCTCAGCATTTGAAAAAAAATTATATATTAGCAAAAAAAAAAGGTTAAGCTGCAAATAGACCTTTATTTTAAAATTTAATTTAATTATAAATAAGACGTTAACGTTATTATTGTGCTCTTTCCAGACGGTGTTGGTACTAGTTTAAACGTAGTGGATGTTGATTATTCTAAAATAGATAATTGAATAATGTTTTACTACTCAAGACGAAGGTTAAAAGATTTAGCAAATCGAAATATAACCAACATATGTTGACCAAATATTGTTCTTTCTTGACTCAATGAGTATTTGTGATCCTCTCTATGATACATATCATATATACTGCTTAAAATGTGTAGAAAGGGGTTGATATGCAAGTTTGATGTAGATCACAGAATCATTTGCAAATATAGCAGATGTTTATCCTAATATTATACAAATGAGCTCGATTTTACATCAATGTTTTGCATATGTATTTTTATATGTTTATAAGTCCATTCACTTACCGCAGCTAAATTTTTGTATACGCCAATTATAAGTATCTGCTACATATATGTTACCGTTTGAATCAAACCTCATTCCAAATGGGGATTGCAATTGATTTGGGCGGCTACCTCGACCATCACTTCCTATTATTGTAATACCGCTTGATGCGTGGGGAGCCCATTTTTGCACGCGATCATTGAAGGTATCAAGAACATAAACATTCTTTTGTATGTCAACCGAAACCGCTCTTGGTAAGGATAACTGATTAGGAGCACTACCTCCTCCATTTCCGCCTGCTACTGTTATACCATTTGTAGCACCTTGTACCCACATTTGAACACGATCATTATAATAGTCTGCTATATAAATATTAGCATCGTTGTCTAAGTATACGCCCAGAGGAAATGTCAGTTGATTTGAATTACGACCTTCACCATTTCCACCAGCAACAACAATACCCTCAGTTGCACCAGGCATCCATTTCATGACACGATTATTATCTCTATCCGCTATGTAAACATTT